TCTGAAATTTAACTATTGTAAAGCAGTAGGTTTCCTCTAACTGCTGTTAGACATTTTTCTGTGTAAATGGATAAAAAGAAAGGGAAAAAGTGATCCCATGTTACAATTCTCAGTTCTAAAATGGGCTTTCCAACTGACCCTATGCCAGTCACTTCTGCCCCTGTACATGAAGTACAGATCAGAGTACAGAAGCCCACATAATACGGCCCTGCCTGCCCTGCAAGAGTGCCAGTGGAGTGGAGGAGAAGAGCAAAGATAAAGGGATGAGGATCAAAAGGAGACCCCTGAAGTACATAAACTAGAAGAATAAGCTTGCTTGTGTAACTGTGCTTTCACGCTGCTCTTCTGGAGAACTGGTGATTCATTCACAGAACAAACTGGCTATCAAAGAATGAAGAAATTGCCAGGCACTGAGGGAGGGCCACAGAGCACCAGGGACTGCTCTGTCTTCTGCAGTCTCTGATTTACATGTGCCAGGCAACGGATGAGACATGATTATATTATATATTCATGAATAGCACCAATGAAAGGTGATGGCACTACTGGCAAATGAGCCCTTTTCACATCATTAAAAAATAATCCATGCAGATATGACAGATGTACTTTAAGCACTGCTTTTCCAGAAAGGATACGAGGCAATCCAACACTTATAATTCTGAAAGTCCCAGACTAAATCTCTAAGCATGCTAAACTCAAATAGATTTTCCTTTAATCTATGCAAGATACATTTACAGGTCCAGTTCTTTCTTTATTTATTTATTTTAATTCTCCCCCTGCTCCTGGAGTTGACACTTTCAGTTTCATTCTGAGCTTGCCATCTCATTAAGGTCCCATTCCTCCAATTTCCAATGTCACTTACCCACACAGAAAGCCACAGTTTCTTCCTTGGAAAAGACTGACCTATTTTGGATGAGATATCAAATTTCTACTGCCAGCTGCAGAGGCACTGATGCAATCCAAAAAAGAAAGTAGCAATGAATTTTCTTTATAACAACAACAAATCATAATTTCCAGTACCTTCTTAGGACTGACAGAATTACTTACCCCCTCAAATTTTTTTTTTTCTACCCCTCAGGCAAAAACCAGCCTGGCAAAACAGCCTAGACACTGAAAATTCAAGAAAATCATAAGCCACTAATGGTGGAAACACATTAAGACTTTTAAAATGAAAATGTACAGATAAACTTAATACTGTGCACTTGTACTTCCAGGTACTCTAACTATAAGGAAACATCCCTTCTTGGAAAGGGCACAGCCAGTGAGACCAAGAGTAACCAGAATTGGCTGTAATAAATCTATAGATGCCCATCTCTGGAAAGCTAGGGAGGTCTCTGTCAAGGGGTAGCCCTCATAGGAAGCATCTGTGCTCTCAGAGCACCTGGCTCTACATCCCTGAGCTACAACCCTGTTGGGAACTTCAGCATGATAGCAGGTCTTCTGCCCTAGGAGAAATTCTGCACTCACATATTGCTTACCAGTTGGGAAGTGTCAAGACCAGACAAGCCAGCCAGACAAGCCATACTAGCAAGAAAATGTTACTGTTTCAAAATCCCATATAAAGAGTACCAGTGAAGTGGTCAGCACTTAATCACTTTACCCACCACATCCCTCAAAAGACCAGCTGTGTAACCTGCCACTGCAAATGATGCCCAAGTGCCATCGATGGTGGTCACATCAAACCCCTCATGAACACCAGTGGGGGTGGTGGCCTGGCTTATACAAGAACCTGATTTCTCAACCTTTCTCCCAGATTCACCTCTAAATATTCCTGTTTGTAAAGTCGGTTTTGGGTTTGTCTTTGGTTGGTTGGTTGGCTTTTTTTGGAAGCTTCTGAGGTTTGTCCTGATCCAGTTTAATCTGTTGCCTGAGAGGCCTGAAGCCACAAAACTATCAGTGACAGTTTTAATGTCAGATTAAACAAAAATTTACAACAATTAAATGCTTGCTAAACTATATACTAAGTTGCCACGTGTTGTCAAATATTACTTCCACCACTGAAAAACAGAAGCTGCCCAACGCTATTGACAATACTGAGGCATTTCACTGTTTTTGGGATCTTATCTTTCACACTGCAGTATCTCTTCTGCTGGCAGCATAAAGTAACTTGCTGCCTCTCATGGCTGGATCAGACTAGGAGGCTTTTGCCTTAGTTTCCTATGGCAAATGGGAGGCTGCAAGGATACTATAAGCTCTTCTCTGACCATGGTTAATGCCTGAAAGCTATACTCCTTTTTAACCCCACAGCTACCAAGCCTAGAGAAAACACAAGGTCTTTTAGTGATGCTCTACACCACAGATTATTCTTGGGCATGCAGACAGCATGACTTTTACAGCAGTTTCGGTGCTTTTGTTGTTTCCCTTAGAACCTTACAATAACAAAGAAAAAACAATTCCTAAAACAGCATACCTGTGCTAATAGAAGCCTCAGACAAAGCTGGCATGTTGTCTTGAATTGCCATAAGTAAATAACCACAGATTCCTTGCCTGGCCTGCTTGGCCATCAAATGATACACTCCTTTAAGATTTCAGAGGAACTGTGAAGAATTCTAAATAATGAGGAAAGAAAAAATGAAGTACAAAAGAAAAAAAAAAAAAAAAAAAAAAAAAGGCAGCACTGTGCAGAAAAATCACTGGATGTGAGACTCTAGTGAGGGACTGGATGTCCACCCTCACCAGAAACTAGGGGAAGCCATGAGGCAGCGATGCAGCCAGGAAAGCCAACATATCATAGAATTATCCTGCTGTGGGGGTTTGCACCAGTGGATCCACCAAACCAGCACTGTGGCTCTCTGCAAAGAAAGACTATGTTACAGCCAGACCTATCTGTTGGCTCATACCTTTGAGACTTCCTGCTTTTCAGGTCATCAGCTACCTGGTTCAGCTCCTCACATGAATCAAATGGCCACCAACACCCTGCCAAGCCCCAGGCTTCCTCCCAACACTCTCCCTGCTGAAGCAGCTCAGTGAGCCTGACGTTCTCTGCAAAGTATCAAGCCCCACAAGCCAAAAGACCTCTGTGGATAGTGACCCACAGCTTACAAGCAGTTTGTGTGCCTTTCAGAGTCAGGTGGGACGGTAAGCTTTCAGCCCGTGGAGGTTACATAGTTCTCATGGCAAAGGAAAATGCAAAGGAATAAACAGCTGCTGTGGGTAGTCAGAGCACTGCAGAAAATATTTCATGGCCTGTTTCTGCTGCCAGTTCTGCTGGGGTGAACCTGGAGCGGGTCCAGAGAAACAGCAGAATTTCCCCAGGTTCATACCTATGCAATTGGGATCAGAATTAGGCCGAGGAGAAGTAAAAAAACCCAGAGAAGCCATTTGTTGTGAGCGCGCTTCCCGCTCCATGAGCTCTGTTCCCATTACACACAAGACAAAGAGAAGAGTCAGCAAACCACAACATAGGAAAGAATGTGCTCCCAGCCTCATTGGGACTCAGCTCTGAGGAGCAGCTGCTGCTGCAGCTCCTGCTTCTGCTGTTTTCCTGAATTTCACATTGCTACTGCTTGATGGGAGGGGAAAAAGAGGAGGTCAGTGAGCGTTTCTGGGGGTGGAAGGAAGTGATGTGATTGCGAGGTTTGATTCTGCTCCTGCTTACTTTGGAGTGACTCCTTGTAGCTTGGCAGAGCTCTCTGTCAGTATAAAAATGGTGAGCATGCTAAGAGTCTTATCTGCCTTCATCTGTGGGATTTCACTGCTGTTTGAGAAGACAACAAAACGTGAGACAGGCTGGAAACCTCATTCTCTTTACTAACAGGCTCCCAGAGGCAGTGGGAGCTGGAGCCCAAAGAAGTCAAGCAGCACAACCCTGGCAATATGGGCTGCCACTTTCAGCCCAGTTACTTCAGGAGGCAAAAACCAAGAGAGTCAGTTGTAAGGTGTCTGTCCTAGAACATGTGTGATTAACAGTCACAGCTAAATTCACTGTCAGGAGCCTAAACAGCTCAACCTGGTACAATATACATCAGACTTAC